CTGGGGATTTAGCTCAGTGGTGCTGCCGCCTGCCTCACATGTGCAAGGTCCTGAGTTTGATCTCTGGTATAAATAAAAACCATAAGAAATATTTAATTCTTAGTAGTAACCCTGTGGAATAGATAGATAGATGTTGTCCTCATTTTACAGCAGTGCAACTGTAACTCAGACAGGTAGAGTAATCCCCAAGGCATCCAACATACAGTAGATAGGGTGTGAAGATGTTGGATCTGGCTTCTTAGTCTGATGTCCAGTTCCATCATGGGGCCAAACCTCCTGGGACAGTAATGAGAGGAAGTGGTTTTCTTTCTTTCTTTCTTTCTTTTTTTTTTGGTACCAGGGATCAAACTTGGGACCTTGCGCTTTCGAGGCAGGCAGCTGAACCACTGAGCTACATCCCTGGCCCAGGAAGTGGTTTTCTTAAACGAGGGTTGAACCTTGAGCATGACTGAAAGTTTGGTACTTTGTCTGAATTGCTTCTGAGAAGTAGTCTGAGGTGTTGGGGGTGGGTAGTTTGGGCTTTATTTTGAAGAGATAAAATGATGTCTACAGAAGTTGAAGTAATGTGAAATAATGAATATTTCTGTGTCATTGGCTGTTGGAGGCATCAACCCTGATTGGATTAAAACAAAATTAAGCCAATTGTCTAAATTTTTGTCAATTAAGATAAAGTGATATACTGTTTGATAATCAGGAAACTATAGGAGAAATACGGTTTCTTTACTTTAATGAATCCTGAGGTACTGCTTTTGGAAATGGGGAATATATAAGTCTGTTTGGTATATTCTCTCCACTCAAGCATAACTAATAAATATTTTTATGAGTGCTAAAATCTTTATCAAAAATTTATTTTTCACTCACTTTTTTGGGTGATTTTACTTAAACTCAAGGCTTTATAGACCAAATTAAAAACTGAATTTTTATCTCCAGCCGAGACCGCTACCTGCTTAAATCTGTGTGTGTGCGGGCTCTGGGGTAAACCCAGGGCCTGGCGCATGCGAAGTACATGCTGCACCCCTCAGCCACACCCTGGCCCCTTTGGGTGATTGTCACAGGCTTCTCCACCACAACACAGTCCTTCACACCGAAGCTCCTGGTTTCCCCCACAGAGCCTGGGAATGGCAGTTTCGTCCATCAGTCACACAGGCCAGCTTCCTGGAGTTGCCCTGGACTTTCTTCTCTCATGCCTCACTTCCCAGGGATCAGCTACCCTGACCTCTTCCCGGATGACTGCAGGAAGTACCCTCTCTCACCGGTCTTTGTGAGGTCCCCACATCTGGGTTTTTCTCAGTGGCCAGAGTGACCTGTGTAAACAAGTCAGACTTTGTCTTTGCTCTTCGCATCCCCGCTGAAGTGTCTGAGTCACTTCATTTCACTTCAGGGAAAGCCAGAGTCCTTACACTTACCTACAAGGAGGGACAGGATCCAGGCCCTCCTGCTCCTGCCCCTTCACCACTTGGAATTCTTCTCCAGTCCCCTGCCCCCATTTGGCCTCTTGCCTCTTGAGTGTGCCTTGCTCTCCTACCTTCGGATATGTGCACTTGATTTTGTCTCTCGCAGCATAGTCTCCCTCCATGTGTCCTTGTAGCTTCCTCCCTAACTGTATTTTTCAGAGTCAAAACACTTCAGAGAGGCCTTTCCTGACCATCTGGTTTAATTGCAGCCCCCCCATCCCATCTCCATTGAACTCCCCATCTTCTCATAGGTGTGTGTGTGAGTGCATGTGTGGACAGTTCTGTGCACACCCCTTTTGTTTATGATGTCTCTGCACTCCCTGGAACATAAGCTCCACGAGGACTGGAAGTTTTGCCTTTCTCTGATGCTCCCAGCACCTAGAGCTGTAGCAACCATTCAGTGGACATTTGTTCAATGAATAGGTGACACTTCTGAATCCGAGATGTGTTCTAGATTAGGTTAGATTCTCTTTTATTATTTATTAAAGTATGTTAACTCTGCTTCATTGGCTTCAATATCCATTGACACATACATTTTTGTTGTTGTTGGGTTTTTTGGTCCTGGGGATTGAACTTGGGACCTTGCGCTTTCAAGGCAGGGGGTGGAACCACTGAGCCAAATCCCCAGCCCGACACATACATTTTTAATATTTTGACTTTCTTGAAGAAAAAAATTTTTTGAGAGGTGGTGAGAGGGCAGAGTGTTTGGTAACCTGATGTGTGAATTACCAGCATGGATAAATGTAGGAAATGTTGGTGCTTTTGAGGAGCTGGAGACCCAGCCCACAGGAAGCCGCAGGTACTAATCAGGTCACAAAGGATTGAGCTTTGTAAGAGCTGCCTTTCTACTCGGTTGTGTGGCCTTGTGCATAGGACCCTTTCTCAGTTTTGTGATCTATAAAGTGGGAGTGATAGCCTCCTTCCTGGTCACTGTCAGAAACCTCAGGTTGCTGTAGCAGTTGTTGTTGTATTGTCTACTCTGTAGATCATTTCTATGAAGTTGAAGTGACAGCTGTTTCTCAGTACAGTACCATGTGCTTACTCTCTTGAGTTATTTTCAGTGTCACCTTGATGGTGTATGTTGGTTATTGTCACTCAGAAAAATTATGATTAATATGTTAGATGGGAGAAAAAATATTTCCCCTTTGAGCTGTAATTTAGAACCAAATATAATTGGTAACTGGATTCACTTTAGCTTTGTAATACCAGGGTTGTTAACTGAAATTTGGCTATATAAATATAATTTATTATATATTGTATATCTATACATTAATATATGTATAAGTAGAGTCGATTTTGAGATTGCCAAGAACATTGATTTTGTGTTTATGTCCCCGTGCGTGTGTGCACGTACTTACACATTACACTGAATTTCATTTTGTTGGATGTCTTTTCTTTTGTTTCTTGAAATTTTTTTTCTAACTCACTTTTGGCAAAACAACTGTTCTCTTTGTAGGAACACAGTATAATTTTAGAGTGAGTAGTGTTGAATGTACAATTTATTTCTTCCTTTCTTAGTTCTGAAATAACATTTAAAAAAAACAGTTTTCTGAAGCAGTTATCTTGTTAACACTAGGGAGTTAGTTAACAGTTTAAACTCAAGAGAAATCTTTCTGTCCCAAACTGCAATTTAGAGGAGGTTTCCAGCCTAAGATCCTCCTGTTTTGGCCTCCCAGTAAATATTGGTAAGTTTTCAGTGTCCAAGAGGAATGTGTTAGCAACTGTGTTAGCTGATAGCCTTTTCTCTTGTATGATTGGCTTGTGCGTGCTGGAAATTTAAACCTGGTGGAGAAAGTAATATGTCTGTATTGTCACTTGATAATTTCAGTGGGCTACAGGGATTTGGGAGTTTATTACTTTTTGTTTAGCAGATGATTCATGTATGCAAAAGTTTTGTAGAATAATTTTTCCTTTCCTTGAAATATGCTTAGAAAATCGAAAGCCAATCTGAAAATTCTATGTGGAAAGAAGTACTAGGTTTGTGCCATATGCTTTCAGCCTTATCACCTTGCTTGTAGATGATCACTATTATTACTCCTTCCTTGGCGTCTCCCAAAGTGTTGCTGACACCTTTTATTTTTCCTGAATTCCTAAGGATAATCGGCATGCTTATGGGAGTGTGGCCCCCCCCAATCAGGTTTGATCTCAGAGCGTCATAGAGAATCTGATAATTCTATGGTTTGGGCATGACCAAAGAGAATTTTCTCTGCATCTGAGGCATATAATTGCATCTGACTTATCTGTTGTTGTGTAAGTAAACAGGAGCAATCTTTTGTTTCTTTGCATGTGTTCTTTCCTGTCTGGCCCTGGTAGCATGAGAAACAGATGGTTCTCACATTGATCACTGGCTTCCTTTTGTTGTGTTTGAGCATGGAGGGCAAGGATTATGAGGTGTGCTTCTTGCATTGTGTTTTTAGTTCTGAACACCTGATATGCAGAGACAGTATTTAGTAAAGATTTTTGAACAAATGAGGTGTTGGGAAAGATGATAAAAGATCAGACAAGATACATTATTGCTATTAGGAATTCCAAAATGATTTTAAACAAATGTGGTTTTTCCCCTGCTGTAAACTTTTTATGAGAATCTTGGGGTGGGAGTTTGGGACTCAGTCTTCTCGTTGCATACTTTAACAACTTTAGATTTTTCTTGTTGAATTTAGTTTTTGAGGAGTTTATTAGGGAAATTGTTAATGGTGGAAATTTGGAAGACTGTAAAAACCACCTAATATTTCCTAAAGCCCAAAGGTTGTTTTTGGAAGCTGTTAGTTTTGTTAAGGCAGAGATAATAAATGTTTAGAAAAGCCATTTTTCCTGGAACTGAATGAGAATGGGAGACTGAGAAGATGTGTAAGATGTAGTTAAGGGTAATTGAAAGACTCTTGCTTTGAAGCTGTCGCTTTCATTGGTGTAAAGCATATTTGTTTTTTAAAGGCACTCTGGAAATTTGGAGAAGTAGGTAGTCTTCAGAAGGTAGTCCACTCTGTGACATCCTAACATGTTTCCCACAGTTCTCCACTTTAGTATTTTTTCAGGTGGAAATAATTTTTACTATAGGGTCTTTCCTCCTTTAAATTTATATTGTGGGTTATGAAGTGCTTGTTTATAATTATTCCTATTATGTGTTGTCTTCTAGGGTGCATTTTAGTTTTTCCTTAAAGAAAAAACAATTGGTGTACAGGAGTACAGTTTATTCTTAGCCTACAGATTTTTTTTTCCCCCTCACTATGTAGCAATGGCTGGCCTGAAAGTCTTAGAGATCCTCCTGCCTTTCAGCCTCCCAAGGACTAGGATTACAGATGTCTGCCACCATGCTCGGCCGGATGGTGTTTAATATTGACATTGTGAAAAGACCCCAAACCATTACTAGCTGAGGCCAAAAACTATATATTTGTGTTATGAATCATTTGCTCTAACTTTTTAACTATGGTCTGAGACATGTTTTAGATAAATCTAAAGCATGAATAAGAGATTTAACAAAACATCATTTTTTGAAGAAAATAAGAGGAAACATTAAAACAATTTCTTCCTCTCTTGTTTCTCTTATAGCATTTTTGAAACGTTGGGGTTATTGGAGTGGTTGGATTTTCCCTGGAATTGAGTGAGAAATTCAGAAGACTGAAGCCCAGGCTTACAGTCTACCTTTCACGGAGGCCTAGCCGTGAGAGGACAGAAGAAGGCACGTGGCGAATCATGACAGCTGATAAAGACAAAGACAAAGACAAAGAGAAGGACCGGGACCGAGATCGGGACCGAGAAAGAGATAAAAGAGATAAAGCAAGAGAGAGTGAGAATTCAAGGCCACGCAGGAGCTGCACCTTGGAAGGAGGAGCCAAAAATTATGCTGAGAGCGATCACAGTGAAGATGAGGACAATGACAACAATGGTGCCACCACTGAAGAGTCCACCAAGAAGAACAAGAAGAAACCACCCAAAAAAAAATCTCGTTACGAAAGGACAGACACTGGTGAGATAACATCCTACATCACTGAGGATGATGTTGTCTACAGACCAGGAGGTAAGGAGGCTGCAGTTGTGACTGCACAGAGCCTGTGGGAGAAGAATGATCGTAGCATTTTGATGAAAGAAATGTCTTCTTTACAGGTTAAGCAGGCCTGGAACCCAGAAGAGTAGACAGTGCTTTTGGATGGGAAAACTTACTAAGCATGTGACCCACCGTAGGCCTGTTTAATCACTTTTTGCTTGTGTCTTCTTTGACTTGGCCTTCCCCTGGTTTGTGTGTTTATAAGTTCTTTCCTTGTTTTCTCATGCCACTTGTTCTTTCTCTTAATCATCTGCTTGGCATTTTCCATCTTTTGGATTCACCCTTGTTTTTCACCTTGACCACTCATAAATTAGGCTGTGATGACTCTGCCGAATGGAATACATACATGGTGGAGACAAACCTCAAGATTCTTGGAAACAGGAAATATTATGTTGGAACAGTATTGGCCAGAAGCTGGATAGGTTTTTTGGGGCATGGGTGGTATTCAGAATTGAACTCATGACCTTGTGCTTATGAGGCAGGGGGCACCACTGAGCTAAATCCCCGGCCCTAGATAGGTCTTTTTAATGGCCTTCAGATCAAGGGTTATCTCTGCCATTAGCTGTTAGCCTCCTTTCCCAAAGTATTGAACTGGAGCCTCACTAATCAGTGATAATAGATGATGGCAACTAACCTGTGAGGTTCTCCAGAAAATGTACTTTGGCCATTCATTGTATTTAAGCTTACAGCTTTACTCAAAGACAGACCCAGCTTTTTGATGAAATGTTGAATACAGGTTATTCAGAACCTGTCTAACCCCAGCAAAGTCTTTTTTCATTGGAAATATTTTGTGTTTTAAGATGATTTTCTTACAAGAGCCAGGAAAACTAGTGAAGGTCATTTTGTTTGCATGACTTACTCTGCAGAGGAGTGACAGTAATTTCATAGGAGATATAATTAATAGATTAAAGACATGACTTTGATGTTTTTCCAAGAAAGGAATTAAAAGACTTCACTGTGTTATGTCACTAACCAGGTACAGTTACATTATTGAAGAATACCCTGACTGTTCTGAACTTCACATAAAGAGTGTGTGTGTGTGTGTGTGTGTGTGTGTGTGTATTTTGATTTCCCAAAGATGATTGATGTTAGAACATACACAAGCTGTATTCACAACTATAATTTCTTGGTTGACTATTAACTTAAGAAGAAACATGCATGATTTAAACTGTCAAAGCTGGAGGCTTTAGAGAAATTAGAGCTCTAGTGTAGACACTTAGTCTCATGTCAGTTGCAGTGCTGTCAGTATTTGTCTCTGGTTCAGATACTGGAAAGAAAGTCTCAGAGCGGAAGACTTTTGTGCAGTTACCACATATTGCTGATTGATGGACTGTTTGCTTCTAAATCATGAGAAAGGAACGGAAAGTGTTTCAACCCATTTAGCTTTTGATTATATACCTTAAAAATGAGAAAAGATCTATTTGTTATTCTTTTCTCTTGATAATTGTCCTTTTAATACGGGTAACGTGCTCATTTGGATCATTGTCCAAAGGCCAGCTGCCATGTGCAGTACTGAATAACAGCCTCTCCCAGCTTCTATCAAATGGGATGTCCTTCTTGTGCTGGTGGGGTCACTGCATTAACATGTTAGCATGCTTGTGGGACATGCTGCCCCAGCTGTCCCCCAGAGATGATAGTGACTGTGAGAAGCACTGCACTTAAGGAACCTCTTTAACATTAAAACACCTGTTTTCCCTGTTTCTGCCAGATGTCTTCTGAAGAAAACCTAGGGTTTTTTTTGTTTATTTGTTTTTTTGGTACCAGGGATTGAACTTAGGCCTTTGCGCTTGAGAGGCAGGTGATGGAACCACTGAGCTAAATCCCCAACCCAGAAAACCTAGTTTTGAGAAAATCTATTTGGGAAGTATTAGACTTTCATCATGTGTTTTTTATGGAATGACAGGAAGTCAAGTCCTCCTTCCTTGTTCAAATAGTCTTCTCTTGATCTTCCAAAGACTATGTGGAGGGAGATTTCTAAGGGCTCACTTATAAAACTGTTGTTGCTAAACTGCTTTGGGGGGGTATTGTGTATCCTTGGTATCTGTAGGGATTGATTCCAGTGCCCTCCTCAGTTACCAAAATCTGCAGATGTTCCATCCAGTCCCCTGTATAAAATGGCATAGTATTTGCACATAACCAGTGCATGTCCTTCCACATACAGTACTTTCAGTCGTCTCTAGGTGTAATATATAATACCTACTGCAATGTAAATGCTGTGCAAATAGTTGTTATACTGTATTGTTTAGGAAATAATGGCAAGGAAAAAAGTTTGTACAAATTCAGTATGGATGCAGTTTTTTTCCCTTCCAATAATTCCTGTCTGTGGTTGGTTGACTCCGTGAATATGGAATCAGCTGATATGAGAGGCTGACTGTATTTATGGAGGGATGTCTTAAATTTTAGTAAATCTGAAGAGTTTTGAGATGTGAAAAGGATGGCTTGTCTGGAAGTTCAGTATGTCAGAAAGGCTTAGAATGGTTCAGAGGTTAACTGTGGCACCTAGGATGTAACCACTTCATGTGGAAGTTTCCCTTGTGCTTGGGTAGGGAAAGTGCTGTACCCTACCCAGTCCAGTGGACATTTGACTCTTTGTTAAAGAGACTGTTTTTAGTGTATTCATTGGTTTCTTTTGAGGGTTTACAGGAGGAGGAGAGTACTGCTGTGCTATGGAGAGTGTGGGGACGGGGACATATGGACCCTGGGTTGAAAGAGCAGCAGACAAGAACACACCCTTCCAGGTCATATCCCCAGTGATCCACCTCCTTCAACCAGGCCCCACCTCCTACAGAACGTTCAGCTCTGAGCTCACCAATGGTCTAATCCACTGATGAGTTTAGTACCCCAAGAGCTAGTCACTTTCCAAAGGCCCCCACCTCTGATTACATGAACCTGGAGGGACACTTTAGATCTAAACCTATAAGAGAATCTCAGATGGGAGTTGATTGTTTTCCTTCCTAGTCTTTTTTTTCTTGGTATAAATTATTATAGTAACACCCTGTGTTAGTGATGAAAACACTGCTCTCACCCACAATCAGAGATTCTGTATGCTCAGTTGTTTCTTCAGTGTTTAGGACTCTAGAGAATGTCAGAAGTGGAGCCGCCGAGCTATTACTAGGTTTCAAATTGCAGATCTTTTTTTTTTTGGGTACCAGGGATCGAACTTGGGACCTTGTGCTTGCGAGGCAGGCGGCAGAACCACTGAGCTAAATCCCCAGCCCTTGAATTGCAGATCTTTTAATCTCATTTTTTTTAGGATATAAAAATTAATTTATTAATAGTTTTGCTTTTTTGAATTGGTTGTAATATTCAAATAAGTATAACTTGGGTTCTTTTCAAAAATGTCATTAAGAATGAGCCCAGCAGTGATTGTTTGAAGATAAAAATAGGCTGTTATAGGTCTGGGGATTTAGCTCAGTGGTTCCTGGTTCCGGCACCTGCCTCAAAAGTGCAGGGTCCCAAGTTTGATCCCCAGTACCCCCCCAAGAGAAGGCTGTTATATAACTACACTTTTCATAGGCATAGGTCTATATTCAGGTTATTTGTTTGGAGAAGCATGAGATTTTATTGAGAAATTAGGTATTTAAAATCTCTATAAGATTTTAGTTTGTGCATTGTCACAGTTGGCGATGTTTTTGCCTTTGCTCCTCATCTCTGGAGCTGTCTTTAGATCTCAGCATAATGAACTTTGTCCCTTGCACTGCCTTGTGGCCTTTGGAGTTGCAGTCATTTCAACGTGATAGCATCACCCCTTATACTTAATTCCTGTCCTTTCTCTTTCCACTCCAGTGGCACTGCCTTTCCTCTCTCATGCTAGCCAGATTTCCTTAACAGATTCTGTCATGGCATTATGTCTCTTTCCTTCCAGCACTTAAAGCAATAATTATCTTTTATTTATTCCAATTGTTGGATTAAATATCTCCTGCCCCAACTGTTTTTGTTTGAAGCGTCTATGACAATAGTATATGCAAATCTGTATTTCCTAATATTTGTGAAATGCCTGAACATATTTTTAAAATTTTTGTTTACTTTGATTACTGATGTTAAAGTTATAGTAGTTCTCTTGAATTTTATCTTGGAGCATTTATTTCCCAATGAATGATTTAACAGACTCATTAAAAAAATAAAAAAGCAAAACCCTTTTGGGGCTCTATTGTGTATTGCTCCTGTGTCTAATCTAACTTCTTTGTTGTATGTCAGCCGTAACTCTACCTTTGAGATGACAGTCACGGTAACAAATTGATTTATTACACAGCTGTATGCAGCCAAATTTCCCTCACAGGCTTCTTTAGCATGAGGCATTGATTTCTAGAGTTTGCTATAGTTGGCATATTAATTTCTTTCTACTATTTGCAGTTAGGCAGTAGGGAGTTTAATTCCTTTATTCTTGATCCAGGTAGAACTGGTCAAAAAATTAAATTCCTTTTGGGAGATATTTTAAAATTTGACATAGGAATGCTACTTCTGTTTGGAGAAGCAAACACATTTTTAAGAAGAACCTATTGGGCCGGGGGTTTAGCTCAGTGGTTTCGCCATCCTGCTGCGCAAGTGCAAGGACCCGAGTTCAATCCCCGGTACCAAAAAAAAAAAGAACCTATTAAGTTGGTTCTTCATTTCTCGTATTTTGTCACATTAACTAATGACTTTGTTTGACTCGTCCAAGAATGACACTTAATTTTTATCACTTAGTACCAACTTGAATATCTTGATTTTTAATTTATCTGTATTCCTTCTACTTTCATGAACAAAGTGCAAAATGAATTTTTCATGAAGGTGAATTTTATGTATAAAAGGCAAAGAATTTGAGATTGTGGTTTGTGAAATCTTAGATGGTATAAAACATTTCCCCCTTTTATTTGCAGAATTTCTCCCATGTTTTTAGGAATTGGGATTTGAACTAAAAAGTGACCTGGAAGGTGGAATTAATTATACACTTAACAATGAAATGTTAATTCCTTTTGATGCAAATTGAATTT